TGCCCTCCATGTATCTATTTCCTTTTATCTGTTTTCTATCTCTTTTGTAATTTTCTTTCTTTTCAGTGTTTCCCCGTCTGTCACTCTTGTCATTTCATTGTCGTTTTGGAGATCTGAGACTAGAGAGGTGATTTTCTGAGATAACAACATTATGCTTATGCTTGTCTGAAAAGGGTTTGTTATTTGTGTATTGTGGCTGGATTTATATAAATTCATAAACCTGGATTACTTTATTCCCACTTTGCCTTTTTATCCCCTCACTGTGTGATGTCTCTGAGAGTGTTGTGGCTGGAATATGTTTAGGTTGACCACTAACTTACTACCTTACCACCTTAACTTGAATATATACTATACAGCAGGTTTTCAGAGGTAGCAGTCAACTATTAGAAATCTTTACTATCAAATTAATTGAAGTTCCTTATAGTATTAGATACAATGTCAATGGGTTGCAATAGGAAATCCATGTACAGTGTGAGACTTACAAAAATTAGCGATGCTGAGCATTTTTGTTGGTTTTTTCCTTTTTGTTTTTTGCATTTTTTCTTTTTTTCTGTTATTCTTCAATTTGTATATTCAAATTTCAAAACACAAATATTTCTGACTTTGCATATGTATCCATTTTTAGTGTGGGAACATGTTTGTATTCCAGGCTTTTCTTCCGTAACTATAACTTCTATGTCACTATATAACACATTCTCATGACGCCTGCTCCCTGGCTGGTTTGGCACACCCTCAAACGAACCTACTCGGAGCAAAGGCCTTGCAAAGACTTTGGTTTAGTTTTACTCGGTTGCCATGTCGAGAAGACGCTTTTTTTTTTTCTCTGTGTCAATGTTAATTCCCTTTGTACACAAATAACCAACAGTGCAAGTTTACTATACAGTCTTTTGGTGACAGCAGAATAACATTTTACCAGCAAAATTATCTTAATTATTTCCTGACATCAGAAGTTTTCCTGACCTGCACAGTGCACACTAGCTTGCTACTGTGTCTACACGTTAACTCAGTTGTGCGCTGAAGTATCCAGGCTTCTTCCCTTCATCCACTTCTGACGACCACATCATTCAATTCAAATGTTATTTCTGGAAATATTTTCATCTTCGCAAAGTTTGTTACAATCTAAGATAGATAAAGACTGTTAACGTAACTCTAATTAATGATTAAGCGGAGTGATACATATAGTTAAAAGTCCCAGTGCTGTTATACTCTATATCAGCACTCATGGAATGCCTCTCGTCCAATCAAATTATTACTTGGTGGGAAGTAACTGTTGTATGATGAGGTTTATTTTAAGAAAATGTGTGTACGAAGTGAGAAAAACTGCAAAATAAAAATAAAATAATACACAGAAATTTCCTGAACTGCAGCTCCATCCATCCTGTTCTGCAACAGTCTGCTCATGCCATTAGTTAGCTGAACTCTGGGGAGCAGGTTAAGAAGTACACACACACACACACACACACACACACACACACACACACACACACACTAAGTACTAAGTACTAAGTAGTAGGCACTGAGGAGTGTGTTTTCTGTTACTCTGTGAGGCTGTGAGGTCCAGACAGATTGACTGTTCTGGCAAGTCTCTTAGCCATTATGCCAGCACCAGGCAGACACTTATTGTTGTGGAGGTTGTGTATCTGTGTCTTTGTGTATTTATGTCTTTGTGTGTGTGTGTTGACTAGGCCGCGGGGATACAATTGATCTCAGCCGCAGGAATCCAAAAGGGGATGAGAGGAAGACAGAGGGAATGAGAGTGAGGAACACCTATCACACAGTAGGAGCATTAAGACCTGTTTGTTTCACCTTCCTGCCTCTTGATTTTGACCTCCTGTGAATTTTACGACTGTTTCACAGAAAAAAAAAGTTAATGAATAAAGGTGTATATATATATATATATATCTCACTTGGCTATATATATATGTATATAGCCAAGTGAGACAAATAGTCACCCTTAATCTGCATTAGGACTTAAAATCCACGTTTTAGTCCTTTTTCTTTTTTGTTCCATTTTGGTCTCTCTCTTTATTAAAGACATTTCTCTTTCATCATAATCCATTTACTATCCATTTTCTATCTCTGGTCCTATGTGGTGTTTGCTCTAATTAATAACATGTCACTGAGCCACAGTACATTCACCTGAGCCTGATTCATTAGTGTTGCTCTTTTTCCCAGAGTATTTCAGCAAGCCGTGTCCATCTTTCATTTTCTATCTGATTTATTCTCAGGCTTTCATTTCCTCCTCTTTCTATATCTGTCTGCAACCACCTCTTTCTCGTGCTCAGTCTTTCACAGAGATGCCAAACTCTGCTTCCTCTCCTCTTAACATCATATCACAGAGTTTGTTCAGTGAGTTTTTTTATTTTTATTTTTTTATCTTCCCCACCTTCAGCTCGCTTTAGCCGGCTCCCCTGGAAACGTTATCTCTTATCTGAAAGAGGCCTTATTGCTCCATTGATAACCTTTCCTTCAAATAAAAAATACAAATAAACAAGTCATGTAAACTTGTGGCCATCATAAAAACATAACAAAAAGGAACCCTTATCTCTTTCCTCTTAAGTGTGTGACTGGGATATCAATAGAGGTAACATTAATGCCATTAAAAAGATAATGCACTATACTTTTCTATTTTGTCTTCTTAACTATTTGTTGATCCACACAGATTTTAAAATAACATTTATACAGGAGTGAATGAACTAGATCCTTTACTTAAGTAAATGTTCTGATACTGTAGTGTAAAAAGACTCCCTTACAAGGTAAAGTACTGCAATTAAAATGTTCCATAAGTAAAAGTATCTTAGTATATGTAATACAAATTTAAAAGAAATAAAAAAATACTTAAAGTATCAAAAGTAAAAGTACTCAAGGCACAAATGTTCTCTGTTTATCATGCATGAGCAGCATTTTACTGTTGTAGTTCAGGTGCAGCCAATTTTAACTAACAATTTTGTTTTATATTGGCTGCAACTAATGATTACTTTCATTATTGATTACTTTTGGTGACTATTTCCTCAATTAATCAATTGATTATTTGGCTTATAAATGTTAATAATGAGCAAACCCTCAATTTTGAGAGGCTGGACCCATGAAATGTTTGGAAAAAATGTAACATTTAAACAGTTATTAAAATACTTCACTGCTGAACAACTAATGGATTATTGACTAATCATAGGGTGGTTCATCTGTCACAATGCATCATATTTTATAAGCTTTCATATGTTTTGTATGCAAGACGTTAATTGGTAAAGTAATTAGTAACTATAGCTGATTAAATAGATGCAGTGCAGTAAAATGTATATTATTTTCCTCTGAAATGTGTGGAGTGGAGGTGTAAAATGCATGGAAGGAAAATACTTAGTAGTAGTAGTACAAGTACCTCCAGTTCAAGTGACTTGAGGAAATGCACTTAGTTATATTCCACATCTGTATTTAATGAAAAACACTGTGTTCAGGACTAACTTCTTCAGATTTTTTAAATTGTATATAATAGCCTTGCTCAAGGAAAATTTCATGTTAAAGGAATAGTTCTACATTTTGAAAGAGAAGATCACTTCCACTCTCATGTCTGTATGGTCAATATGAAACTACCACCAAGGTTATGTGCTGGACTATTTCTTTGGACTATTGACCCTCAACAACTTGCTATTAACACACTTTGTTTTTTTTAGAAGGATTAAATAAACATGATATGATGTGTTAATTATTGAGCTTTAGAGGTGCTAGTAGGTGGACATTGATCAGAGTTGTTTCCCACATCTTTTTTTCTTCTAAGCTAAGCTAACAGGCTGCTGGCTGTGGCTTCATATTTAACTGAGAGATATGGGAGTGGCATCGATCTTTTCATCTTTCTCCAGGCAAGAAAGCTAAAACAGTGTATTACCCAAAATGTCAAACTATTGCTTAAAGGGAGTATTAATCTTTCAGTTTTACAACCAGTTTGGAGATTTAAAGATGTTATGTTTTCCACATAAGACTGTTTTTCTAACCTCCAGCCTCCTTTCAGTTAAAGCACTTATTACAACTTCGCTGTTTCCACATTTTCAGTTTATATTTATTCAGGCCCTCTGACCGTGAGAAAGACAGGATTTAGACACCAAGCCTTGAACAGTCCTTGAATCTTCAAATGGTTCTTGCGCATGTAGAAAACAAATAGTACTTTCAGTTTATAGGAAAAATGTTTCATTAAGATTGACAAAAAAAGGATCTTTCAACTGAATACACTCACAGGACAGAAAGAATTTAAATATGACTGATAAAAGGGCTGAAATACACTTGTACAAAAACTATGAAGCACAGAACTACCTAGCAACAATAATTCCTGCAGGCATTTAGAAAATGCAGCAAGAAGAAATGGAGAAAATAAATACAATGAAAAAGTAGTAAAAAACTGAACAAGCAGGGGGTTTTTGCCTTGTGGTGTATCAGTCTGACCATAACAATCCTGACAGGGTTGTCAACAGCAACAATGTTGTTGTAAGTAACAGAGTTGCCGGGCGGTGGCGTGGAGATGGACAGAGCGGCATGGAGTGAATTGGAGATAACAGGGAGTGTGACAACTGAATTACAGCTGACGGCCCTGAGATGAGCTCTCAGCAACAGAAAAACAAGACAGATAGACAGTATAACACGCTGGGAGGCAGGAAAGGAGATGGAAAGACTGAGAGCAAATTTGAGTGGAAAGTCAAAGGGCAGAAGAAAAGCCCATGTGAAGAATGGAAGACGAAAGAAAGAGAGAGAGAGAGGGATTAAAGGAAGTGAGAAAATGAGTGGATGAAAGGAGGATGCTATTTCCTGAACAAGTGAATGTGGGGGACATTTTAACAATGAGAGAAAGAGACAGGCAGCAAGAGATTCCTGAGCCAAGACACAGCAAGCGTGCAGAGAGAAGTCAGATGAGATGAAAGACTCAGAGAGTGCAAAAGTCAAAGTAAGGAAAAACTGTTGTTTTTGTGAAGGCATGTGCATGTCCTTTGTTTCTGGAAAACAATCAAATAACTTACTGGTAGCATTTGTGAGCCTGAAAGTGACCGACTTATCTTCGATGTTACACACATTGCGCACAGACACCTGGCAGGTGTAATCAGCAAAGTCCTTGGGTCTTAGGTTTTTCAGCTTCAGCACCTTGGTCTCACCCTAGACGGGACAAAACACACACACGACAACATCATGCTACAACACCACAGTTTAAAAAAAATCTTCACAACATAATCCTTTAGGTAACTAATATGAAGCATACATATTAATCTAAACATAAATCTAATTTTATCACATCTCCATTGCATAATACATAACATTATATCAGTGAAAGAGCTCAAAGCTTTTTTATTTTAGTCTTTTCTAAACTGGGTTGTAATCTTGCGTAAAAGTCACTTCAATTTTTGATGAGCCGCAGTGTGATAAACAGGGTCAACGACACACTGAGATGAAAACACACACACACAGACACACATGCACGAACGCACACACACACACTCACACACACACGCACACACACACACACACACACACACACGCGCGCACATACACACACACACACACACACACACACACACACACACACACACACACACACAAACCCAAATACAAACATACTGTGTTTGTATGATGCCCTGATTATCAGCTGAAGCATCTATCATCTACATATGGAGTAATATGAATGATGAATTTCAAATTGCTTTTGCATGAGACCATCAGGAAAATGGGAATCATCTGATTGTCAGTACAAAAAAAAAAAGCTGAATACATTCATCCTCTCTTGGACTATTCATGAAACTACTGCATGTATCTTTCTCTGTGCTCCTCATGGAGACGCACATCGCTGATGATTTTTCATATCGAGACTTTATGTCTGTCAGCCTGCTTCACTAGGTGATGTGCTAACGCTGTCTTAGGCATTCCTGAGAAGAGCTCTGCTGGCTGGCTAATTGAACTCTAGGGGCTCTGCTTTGTGGCTGACTGATGCTTTGATAAGTGGAGAAAAGGGGGAGCCGTTGTTTGAAGGCAACAATTGTGCACTCAGGCTGCGAGATCAGGCTGGGGGACTGTTTATTTAGTTATTTAGTTAGCTTGCTGGCTATGTCTGGCCAGCTGAACAACTGGCTGACTGATGGAAGAGGCTGCTAGTTTCAAATAGCCAGAGACAGACAAAGAAGAAAGAACAATCATACGATGCTATAATAGTAAAATTTTTCATTTTCATTTTCTATGTGCAAACATGTCTCTATATGTCTGTGTGTTTTTCTTCTTTCAGTATACAGTGCATTCTAGCTTTCCGTTCCCACATGGCACATATGCAGTTTTCAGTGACAGCAGGGGAGATTTACCCCTCAAAATGCTTATTAATATATAATTTGACTTTTAATTTCCCTAACAAGAAAAAAGGTAACAAATCGAACTGTGGTTGCTAGAACATGAACTTCAAACCCAATAAAAAAGCAGGAAAGAGCAGCCAACGTTAACTCATATACAGCACATGGCTGAAATACTACACAGACAGTGGATGTGATATTGTTACCAGGGCTGTTTGTAATTCACCTCCACACTTGGCCTTGATTACAAATGGTATTCAGCTGAACATGCTAACAACAGTGTCTTACTTTAGAGCAGACAAATGCACTGTTGCCTCACTATACACTTTCGCTCTTGGTGGTTTTTGGTTTTCAAGAAGCTAACAAAAAGTGATATGACCATCCAAACTCTATAAATGCTCAATATCAGTGTTACTAGAGCCCCATGACACCACTTTGACATTTGGAGAAACTCACAGCTTGACAGACCTTCCGCACTGAGTCAAGGTTAAAGCTTCTGAACAGCTGCTGTTCGGAAAGAGGTTTTGTGAATGGTAATTTCAATTCGTATGACCCTGACCTCCCTAGGTCAAAACCATAGTGCTATAACAGTGTTCGTATAAAAACTGCATGTATGAACAGAAACAGTGGGAGTAAACCAAATAAAAGCAAGAGAGAGATTTAGAGTGGAATTTTTTTTCAATGGTAAAACTTGAGAGTAGAGGAGGATACAGTTCTGTTGTGGGGAGGAGATGCACTTTCTGAAGAGAAAAACAGAAAGCCGGTTGCGATGGCACACCTGGCAGTGTGTCTGTGCTGTGTATGTGTTCATGTGTACCTGGGTGTAAAGCGGCTCATAGATGTCCACTCCGTTGTCCTTGCTCTGTTCGATGAGCATGCTCCCACGTTTCCAGATAAATCGTGCGGGAGGGTTGGAGTTGACGGTGCAGCGCAGGAACACCGTCTTCTCCTGGTAGTAACTGCCACGCACATCGCTGATGGTCTGGTGCACCGTCAGAACTGGTGTGTCAAGATCTGCAAAGCACAGCAAAGGAGCAAAAGATAAAAACATGAAGACTCAGATATTGCTGCAGGGGGTGATTACTGGTTATTACACCCCAGAAACGTGTTCATTAGGATTTTTTTTGTGCCACACTGAACAAAAAAAAATCACACTAAGAAACTCACAAGGTAGGGTTTTATAGGAGTAAAAATAGCCTTTAATTTTTTGAATAATGGTTGTCGCTTTTTCTGTGCAAAACCTTGGTGAAATTATGTGTGACAGAGATGCGATTTGGTAACTGGGACACAACTGTAAATAAGGGCAAACAAATGCTGTTTGTTGGCTGAATTGCTCACTCACACTGACCAAAGCTATCCAAACACTTGCCTATGGATCAAAGCTTCTAACGAACACAAATGTCCGAATGATCTGTACATTTTGCCATTTCCCTCTCTAGCTGTGACTCTCACACACACAACATTTATATATTTTTTCTGCCATTTTTTTTTTTCATCACCTCCTCCCCCCTCCTGCCTAGTTTTCCTGTGCCTTCATAGGAGTGTCATCTCCCGTTTCCTGCGGTGGATAGGATTTCAGCTGCTGTCCCCTGGTTTCTGCCATCTCTCCAAAACTCACTGCGACTTTCACTCCTCATCACCGTCCCTGTCTCTCGATCCCCTCCTCCCCCTCGCTTCCTTGCCTCTATCTCTTACAGAGAGTTGTGTGAAATCTCAATTCTTTGCAGCCTAATTGGACTGTTGCGGACTTCAAACATCATGGAAACAATTTCCAGCAACACCGGTGTAGCATTTGCTCCCTTTTCCTGCCTTTCCATTTGACCTCTCCTTCATTCTCACTTCCTCTTTTCTCTGCTCCTGTCCCTCGCTTCCTTTTTCCTTTGTCAACTCCTCTCATGTGCTGTAGATTTATCAAAAAGGCATGTGTGTAAGATGTAGAAAAAAAAGGTGAGATGTGAGTGTAGCCACTACGTTCCTTGACACCATCAAATGTGAGCGTAGCCGAGCCCATGTGATGGAGGGAGGTAAGTATTGTATTTTGGGTTGGAGACGCTTGAGAAAAACAATGTGTGGATAAGCATGCTTGATTTTTGAGAGTGCTGTTGATAAGGGCACAGCTGTCACATGAGGGCTGTGTCTCTCTCTCTCTCACACACACACAGACACACACACACACACCCACACACACACACACACACACACACACACACACACACATATGCATGCATACATACTCACATCTGGACCCACATCAAAGTGTGTCCAGCCTCAGCACAGCATCAGAGCACGTTTGTGGTTTGAAGTTTAGAGATCTGCGACAGACTGGCACAAACACACAGAGGCGACTTGAACTCGTTCAGGTGTTTCCAAACAAACCAGGCACTGCATGAGACTTTTTCAAACAAAAGGTGAATGACAGGGTCATAGAAAAATGGACTAAATCATATGATGTGATAGCGCTCTATTGCGTGCTTTAAAGCTACAGTCTAATGTGTGAACTTTGCCTGAATGTCTTGGGAAAGAAGAGAAGAGTCAGAATGGGTATTGGAATATATTGAAATATGTTGGGTATAACACCAGTACATCATTTTGAAGAAAAAGTAGCAGATTTTTTTACGTTTGCTGAAGAGGTTTAACTTTACATATCTGTTTTTTTATGTGCATTTGATCTGATCTTTGAATGTTCTTTCTCTGTATCTCTGTCCCAATTTAGGAACTGCATCCTCCAGAGGACGCAGTCTTGTCTGGTCCACGGAGGATTTCCTATTTATCCTGGGCCAAAACAGATCAGACCTTGCAATGACCTGCATAATTGCTTCAAAATTCACCAAACACAGGGATAAAAAGCTTCTTCATGTCTATTACGAAAATGATGGTTCTGGAAATTTAGTTTATACTCAAAAAAAAAAAAAAAAAAAATCAAACTGCTTTTTGCCGGCAGCATGGCCAAAAAAATACTGTGTCTGACGTGGCTAAGCTGATACTAGTACTATTGTATATGTGTTAATTGAGAGTTTCTCAGAGATTTATTTCTGTGATCTGTGAAGTGCTCACCTGTTTCCATCCCTTTCATGTCCCCATGGACACCCTCATTCATAAAACGACAACCCACTGTTTCTTCCATAAGGCCCTGCGGGAAACTAGACAGTGAGGTACCACCAGTCTCTCTAAAAGCCTCTGCCAGCATCAGGCCTTCAAACCTGGGCACTTATTAAAGATATCTGCCTCTTGGTTCTGCCATGTGCATGTGTGTGTGAAAGAGATCTGGCAAAAGAGCAAGCACCTTTGTATACTTGAATTTGTGAATATGTGCCTGTATATGTGTGTGTGTGTGTGTGTGTGTGTGTGTGTGTGTGTGTGTGTGTGTGTGTGTGTGTGTGTGTGTGTGTGTGTGTGTGTGTGTGTGTGTGTGTGTGTGTGTGCGCACAGGATTTCTGTATGCTTTTCACAGATCATTTGCAGTGCAGGGGGAATCCTAGCTGACTAATGCACCGGTAGTGTATACGTGTGTGTCAAGAGAGTGAAGCGAGTGTGACTATCTGCTGTCACTCTGTCTGTTTCGTGACACTATGGTTGAATCTGGAGAAAGTGGAAAGTGACAGATTGACACAGAGAGAAGCAGATACAGACAGGTAGATTCTCGAGAATATGACACAACTGTAAATGGACAAAACAGTCAGTCAGAGGTCGACATTGCTCCTACACAGCCAAGGAGATTTTGACTGTATGGATACAGTGCCCATACATGTTTAATTTGGCACATTTTTGGCTTTACATTGAAATACTGATTGGAAGAGCGTTCACTTTGCTAGTATCAACATAGTAAATTTAAGCAGTACAAAAAGAAAACAAAACTAGATTCAAACGAACATCCCACTGGAACACACAAAACTGTGCCAGCTTACTTTAAACTTTCAAAATTGCTTTACTAATGTCATGGATAAAACGATGACAATAGTTTTTTTTTTTTTTGTTGTTGTTGTTTTTTGTTTGGTTTTTTTTTCACGACAAGTGGGTTGTTAAAGCTTTTATAATCCAAACTCCCAGGGTGCGTCTAACTTTACTCAGTTTGGGCCCTTAAGTAAATAGAGACACAAGATGAAACTGCAAGTGTACAGAAATACAATATGAAACTTTAATGAAGCTTCTGATTTCCCCAAAGCCCTGCCTTTGTACACAGCTTAGATCAATTGCACTGCACTGCTTCTGTTAGCCGCAGCTTTTAATGTACATCTACGCCTCCAAATTTCAAGCTGCACTGGGGGTCTGGCATTGTTTTCTGCTTAGACGCTACACAGTGGTGCTGACGCAGAGACATTTTACTGTAGTTCTCCCTCAGAGTGTGGCCCTTAGCTCGGACTAATGCATGTGGTTAAAGCACACAATCACACATATTTTGTGAAGTTAATACCATGTGATAAAAAAGTAACACCTACTGTGTTTTACAGGCCGATGGTAGCTACTCAAAGGATCTAAACTTTTCTGATATATGTCTGTCCACCAAGAAAAGCCTTTGCATGTTTGTTCTGGATTACATCCTGTTGATTTGGGGGTAAAAAAGGGGACAAATGTAAAACAAATCCTACTTTTTCTTACATGCTAAATTATCAATGAATAAAATTGAAGACTTAATGTTTGTACAGTGAATCAAAGTCTTGGAAAAATATGTTGCCACCTGCTAAATAATATTAAAGTGGTTTTATTGCAAAAACGAAAAATCTTGGTATCGTGAAGATACACTTCAAAAAGACTGGAAAGACACGGGATAAAAATAATACCGTAACAATATTAAAGACACAACACACACAATAAAAGTCCAACAGTGGTATTAAATCAGTGAGGTCCCAGTTATGGAGTTCATCTCGGCTACCTGTATCCTTGGACATTATTTCTGACATTAACTCAGATGGAAGAAACAGACAACTGCTAGAAACCGAAAAACAGCCATGTCTATAAAAACGAACACTTTATTTGTGCATCTTTTATCTGCTGCCATTTTAGCTCTTTAACATTTACCTATAGTGGTAAACAACTCGGTTCAAATCGCACTTCATGAATAAATTTTACTTCATTTACATTTTTTTGATAAAGAAAATAAGGGAAACAGCAAATCTCTGGTACACTGTCTTATCTGGTTGACACAAATTAATTCAAGAGGGGCTATTCAACAATGTTTCGTACAGTCCTGATCAGGCCACCAGATTCTGTTAGACCAGCTGCCTGTTAATGAGATTCCTTTATCATTAGAAAGACAAAAACTACTATACTTCTATTTGCTCCAGATATTCTCAGAGACCAATTCATCTGAATTATATTAAAGAGCGATGCAGGAAAGCCACTTACACACCAGCATGTGAGTCAAAATTACCCAACTTGTTCAGCGTTTTCCCTGAAGGTTTGGAAAGAGTTCAATTTTGGTCAGGTATTCCAATTATGTTTTCTCTTGAAAATGATGTTTGTTGTTTTAATACAAATTTCAAAGCAAACTAACTAGCAGAAAGAAACACTCCAGTACAGATGTTGTTCGCTTGTTATCTGAGGAATCAGATGATTAGAGCTGTGGTCAGAATTACAAACTCTATACTACGAGCAAATGCAGTACACCCAGCGGGGAGAACGGCAACAAAAACACAGCTTTTTTTTTCTGTGTTGACCTCCAGTCATTTTTAAGAGTTTATCTGTTGTATTTTAGCAGTGATTTAATTTCACAAACATAACCTTTGTATGCTCAGTATGTATATTTTACAGACTCGAAATGTGTCTGCATGCCATAAGTTCCTCATGATCATGCCTCAAAAATCTTTCCGAAAGACCTGGAGTAACCATGGCAATGATGGAAACAGAGATTTACTCAGAAGCAATCCATCCTCGCGGTCAGGGTTGACCGAGTGTGTTTTTGTAACAAGTTGACCTCTGCTGGGTGCTTTCCTCTGCTGGAGGATGCCCTGGACTCCAAATCCTCTTTGATTTCCAATAACATGTCCTGTACTCTAATA